CTTTGTTGCTAATAATAGGAGTTTGTGTTTTACAAGGAGCATTGAGAAAATGAACTGCCTTGCATGTTATTGCCCTGGGGTTGGAGGGAAGCAAGGTCAACTTTGTTTTCCATTGGGATCATGGGTTCTTTTTAAAATTCCTTTAATGGTTTATAACAGCCCGCATCTAGTTCAAACCAGCACCAAAATAACCTAGCAAAATAGTAACATAGACTTGTAAAAGCACTTTGTTTGTGCAGCTTGACTCAGGAATTCATAGACTGACATAATTAATGATAAAGTCTAAAAGAAGATTAAAGTAATTCTCAATAAAATTCATTTCAGACTCTGCATTTGAGTCCCTTGTTTTGAAGAAATCCTGAATACTATGGCAACTGTTACAGGTAGTCCTCAATGTACAACAGTTCCTTTACTGAACTGTTCAAAGTTACAACAATACTGAAAAAAGTGACTTATGACCATTTTTTATCACACATTTTGCATCCATGTGATCAAAATGTGGAAGCTTGGCAATTGGTTCATATTTATGACAGTTGCAGCGTCCTGGGGTCATGTGAACATTTCCATCCTTCTGACAAGCAAAGTCAATGGGGAAGCCAGATTCACTTTACAACTGTGTTACTAACTTGACAACTGCAGTGATTTGTTTAACAACTGCAGCTAGAAGAATCGTAAAATGGAGCAAAACTCACTTAACAAATGTCTCACTTAACAACATAAATTTTGGGCTCAATTGTGATTGTAAGTCGAGGACTACCTGTATAACTTTCCTGATATTTACACACATAGGGACACCACATATACATTTTATACAGACAGTTGTGTATTATACCATTGGTGAACTGCAGCTGGTGTATATATAATATTATATGTAATGTTGTTATGTATGTAATTATGTATATATAATGTTGTCATGGATATTATTTAGATATACTAGCAAACAGTTCTTTAAAGTAAATATGTTCTTCATCTCAGATTCTGTGAACAAGACATCTTACAAAATAATAGATGGATTCTAAATTAATCATCCAGTAATATTAAGTGGTAGCAGAGTAGTAAACTACAGAAGTCATCACAAAACGTAATAAAATTAGTCTAAATAACAATTTTACATTATGGAAAAGCAGCAGCAACACATTTCCTATGCCTTCTTTAAAAAATTATAATAATTTGCATGTATTTCACTTTTCTATTGGTCAGTTTTTTAATAAAACAGGTTCTTTTGACTGTTATAACTGAATGTAGATGTTACAAAAATATATATATGAAACGCCCCATCTCCATTAATCAGAACAAAATGTTGCTTTTTCTGTGGCTATCTTCATCCGAACTTTACTCAGAGCAGGCTGATGACAGACTAGTGTGGAGTTCTTTGCCCAAAATGATTTAGTTCAAAGTGCTGTTAGATACAACTACTCTGTCAAGTTGTAAGAGCACTAGGGCGATTTCAGTTGTATTCTCTGAAAGTTAATTAATGTGACAATTATAGAGTCAAACACAACAGTAACCATAGCAATACTTTGTTACAATTATTAATTTCTATTCTGTTCTAGGATGGAATAAAATGTATTGTCAAATCTTGCAAAGATTGCAATAGGAACTAAATAGAGAAGGAATTCTGTGACCTGATTTTCCCCCCTTGTTACTAACTTGCAAAACAACTGATAAGTAATCTTTCAAGAAATAAAGATATTTCATTTTCTCTTCTGTTTTCTTTATATTTCTGCAGTGATATTACAGTTTATTGAATAGCACTGGTTCAAATTTCTTACCATTTTGTAAAAAGTTACAGGAAAGCAAATGGGAGGAGCTGTAAACAGATTTACATATTGCATGACATTGCTGATGTGTTCTCTGTCTTGAGGTTCCTAGGCTGGGGAAAGCAGTGTTCTCAACAGAGCTCTGACTTCTACAGACTGCACAGGATGAAGGAAAGGAAAGTTGTAAATGAAGAAGATATGTTTCCTTTAAAGTTTGATGCCTGCTTTCCTTCTGCTGTGCATTAAGCGTAGCGTTTAACAGTCTTTTCCAATTAGAACAGTTTTTGCACAAATTTTGTATAATAGTATTTCCTGATGGATTTTTCAAAGCGAGATATTTGTCCGGTGTTTCTCATCATAAATTCACACTGTTTCTGTTGTTCCCACAAGGAGTGTGTTAAAGAGGTAAGAATTTCACAGATATGTATTTAAATCAGGCTCTACTTAAACAATTATCAGATTAATAATGACAATGCTTACTTTAAAGATTTACTGTTTGTATATCGATAGGAATGTTCTTATGTAGGCAGATTGATTTCATAAAGATGTTAAGACTTGTGTTTTGTGAAGATATGTTATATTACGTTCGTGTCGGAGTGTAATAGAAGGTCTTTAATGTTTGAAGCTACAAGAATATACAACTACTAACTTCTGTACTTTTCTAGCTGTTTGATCTAAGTGGATTGTTCTGAATATTGGTTCATCTACACCAAAGATTGTTAGCCTAGGAATAAAGTTAAGTTGCAATTTGTGTAGATTCTATGGGTTCTAGGACAACTTCTCATATATCATGTGAGGCAAGTATAGTTAGATTCTAACTATAACTGTGTCCAATAGAAGGATTCATCTTGTGTAAAAAAGAAGATCAGAATACCTGCTAATGCCCGTGTTAAATACATAGAAGATATTTTATTATAGAATGAATGTTCCGCTTGGTTGATCTGATGGGAGCTCATTTTGATTGCAGATAAAACAATTTATTTGTCAGTTTACAATACACAGTTATGAAAAAAAGATTTGGATGTAGTGCAAAGAATTACATCTACCATAACATATCCAATAGGGAAGAACTGAACAAATGCAGTAGAAGTTCAGTCTGGGAGATTATCATGTGAGAGAAAGTGTTGTCATATAAAATTATAGTTCTTAGATTTTTAATTTCATATCTATATCTATAGATTGACAGACATAGATATTAAAAACTGGTTTGTATTGGAATTCCTTTGTCTTGTTCCAAGAATGCTGATTGTAGGGGATTTTTTAAAAAGCAGGGTTCTTATAGATGTGGATTTGTAAAGTGTTGTGTGTGGAGGGGACATGATGGTAGTGCCTCAGTGCAAGCCTGCACACTTGCACACATGTTTTCATGAAATACTACACATTTCCTTATTATGTTAAACCTGAAAAGGTGGACTGGTGTATTTCTGTATTGCCTATTTGAAAGAGTGGTACACTTATCTCATCTATTTCATCCTACATCTGTGTATGTTAATCCTTGAATCGTCCTAACAATATAAACAAATCATTGATTTATATCAACTGAATCTAGATAAATAAGTGAAGGAATTGGTGGAATATGAGTTAAGTAAAATTCACAAAGTTATCTAATAAGACTCGGAAGTTGGTGCTTGTTTGAATAGAATGAGTAGTTTGGAGGACTATGGGGAAGATGGTTGAATGAAGATTAGATGGTAATTTGTGGTTTACAATTCAGTCAGATCTGACATTCATGACACAATGAATTTCACCAGGACTGTCTATCAATATTGGCTTCTTGAGTTCTAGTAAGACAAGCTCATGCTTATGCCATTAATAATTGTGCTTAGCTACCTTGCTTCCTCTTGTGGGTTTTTTTTTTATTGCCCTCAATTTTTCTAAACAAGGAAATCTTCTGCAGTGACTCTTTGCATGGCATATACAAAATATATAAAACTTAACTTCATTATTTATTTATCCAGTGAGCACAATATTTCAGTGTCTAGTAGTTACTTCATCTGGTATTAGATTATAACTTGTAATACAAGTTATTCTTGAACAATAGTAACTTAATTTTCAGAAAATTATCTGAACTTTGCTGTACAACCTTGTTTATATACTAATCATTTTTTAACTTGAAATACTCAAAATATTCTTTTGTGTTGCTGGGGAATCTTTGAATTGTGGATATAAAATTTTCATATTCTATATACGTATGTGGTTTTGAATATTAGAGCTGGGGCTACATCTTTCAATTGGGTCTGTGTTTTCCACCTGTTAGAAACTTTTTAATAGCTGACTAAACATGGAAAAATGTAAAAATAAAAAAAACATGTTAGAAAAGAAATTTTCCATTCACTGACAGGATGAAAGAATGGTTCTTATATGATGGCACAGGTTATGTGTGTAGGGGCACTTTTTGAGAGCATGTAGAAATGACCATATTATTTTAGTAATATAGTATGTAGATTCAATTAATCAAAACTCGTTTACTAAATGTTGAATTGGGGAACAGCTTTAATTTTAATTACATTTACACATTTAATTCAAGAAATGTTCTATTAGTATCCATGTTCTATAATGAATAAAATATATGGTTACAAGATAATAATGCCAATGGCCTTTACTCTTTAATGAAACTAATGCTTTAGATTCAATTTGAAAGTGATTTTTTGGAATGTTTGGGAATGTAATGTGTTACTAGCCTGCATTGCACTAAATAAACTACCTCCATATCCAGGAGTGTGCAGCTGTGGTGACATCCTCATGATCCTGGAAAGTGACATGGTTGTTTTAATGATCCAGATGTCTGCCATGCTTGCATTCTGGATGTTCTAAAGTACTTCTTCTGAATAGAATCTGCATCATGATGGGGCTAGCCTCCTAATGAAGGATAGGATGATGATGATGATTGAAATGTCCTGTTCTTTGCTCTGGAAGCTCAGTTGAGAGTTCAACTGAGGCTTGAGCCTGGCAATTGTCTGCCTGGCCTCCTGGCCTCTCTTAGCTTGTGGGCCACATAAAAACAGCAGTGGCCTGGTATTTATTGTCTGACCAATAAAAACAAGAAACTTTCAGAGGCAAAAAAAAAA